GACCTTTCTTGTAGAGGACGACGAGATGTACAATTTCTGTATAAAATTTTTCCGCTAGCATTAATATTTAACGAGTTATTGACGAAAAACGACAAAACAGTTTTTTGCAAATTACTCGTTAAATATAGTCGCTAGCGGAAAATTTTTATACAGAAATTGTAGATCTCCTCGTTCTCTACAAGAAAGGTCCTATGCAATTTTCTTGTAGGTCCAACGGTTTGGGAGTTATTGGCCAAGAACGAAAATTTGGAAGAAATTGAAGGGGTACCCCTTGGAGAAGTCTCAGAAAAATCGAAAATTTTTTTTGTTGTTTATTATTAGCAATGTTCTTCCGACGTCTGATTTCTTTTTAAAAAATGCGTTTGTAAAGTGCATAAACTTTTGGGATTGACTGTATAGCCAATACATCCTTAACACATTGCGTACCGCTGACGAGTATTCTCGTCTTTCTCGCGCTATGTATTCCAGACCTTAAATATCCAAACACTGTCTTATCTACACCGAATGAAGCGATCTTAATGGTGGAAACCGTGCAGGTCAATTTGCGAAAACCTATAAAATTGCACGAACCCATAAGGTATTGCAATTACATTGTATTTTGGTCATTCGAATAGCCTTCGTCTTCAACTTCCTGACGCTTTTTGAAATGCCCTGCCTCAGAAAAAGGAAGGAAACCAACGAAATTGATACACTTGCGGAAGTACTTAACGATAATTTATTATAGATATTCCTAATGAGATCGAAGATGCGGATGACTGTTTTGACGATTCCGAAGACGATTCTACTAATTCTACTGATAATGAAATTATTTGAAATTATTAAGAAAGTGTAGGGTGGCGGTACTTTCAAGTGATTCCGATACTCAAGAAGATACTGATAATTGTTGGTCTGAAATTGACACATCACCACGCCTACAAATGTTTGAAGGTCATGCTGGGGTCACCACATTTCCGTCTCAGTGTGACTCTGTACTCTCTGTGACCAATCTCTTTTTTGGTGATGAATTGTTTGAGATGTCGTGCAAACAGTTGTCCAACTATCACGATCAAACCGCAATGAAACGCAAAACATCATATAAAACACTAAAGTGGTCTCCGGTTACGCAGAAGGACATGAAGAAATTCCTTGGCCTAATTATTCTGATGGGTCAAACAAGAAAAGATAACTTGAAAGGCTATTGGTCAACATATTCTTTGATAAGTACTCTTATACTTCCACAGATCTGTAGTTATGATGATTTAAATAACGTGCAGTTTGCCCAAAAACGTCCGGTCCCTCGCGTATGTCTTAGAAATTTCTATTCGCTACGCAATCTGTTAAAAAAGAAATAAAAATGTACTTGTAGCGAGACTCGATTTAACCAGTTAAGTGTGTTTGACGACTATATCCGTCATGGAAGAATGGCAGAATTTTGTGTTATGACGGCTATATCCGTGAATAAATTCATTCATTTTCTAAAACAAAGTCGTCTTTTTGACCCAATATTTCAACAGCGCCACTTACTCTGTGTTTGACGACTATATCCGTCATCGCTTGATTATCGCGACACACACTGGGGCGCACTTTGCAAAATGATCGACACAGTTAACTGGTTAAATATGACTATGAGATACCAGCTATCTACTAAGATGATAAGNTTACCCAAATAACGAGCTACCTTAACACTAGATTGCCCAAGGAAGTAATTTTTACTGCTTTTGGGCAAATGTACAAATAATAATGCATAAATTATTTTTTTTCCCAAGTGAAGTAAATTTTTTTTATTGTTAACATTAACTAATAACTTGTTGTATGACTGTAAATAATATAAAAAATATTAAAAATTAATTTTAGACAAATTTCTTTACACATTATTCTTTCACAATGCAGTCATTTTGACTGCTTTGGGCAATACAGGTATATACTAAGTTTCAGTCTTTCTAGTGTTAAGTTTCTGCGTACATGTATATTAAGTAATTATATACAGTTTGTACGCATATGTATCAAACCTATCTTGGCAGGTTTCCTATTTTCGTAGAACCATATCGTCCGTCGCGGTTGTTTGCATGGGGAGATAGTCATAAATTAGATACGCGCAACGTGAACGGGGATCAACGTTTTGAATGATAATCTCGATTTGTTATCGGAACACCGCCCAGTTCGCTCGTGGTGACGTTTATCACGCAACGTCCATATCTCGTTTTATTTGTTCTCACCGCCATCAGCGATGTGGTAGTAGGTAACTTTATCGAATAACCGAAGGACGGTTCGGAAAATATCTTTTTTTAGTCCATGTATACATACATACGTACATCGTTATACGACGTATACGTGCCTCGTAACGTGTGGAACATTCGCCACACACTTCGGGAATGAACAAGGGACACATAAATATGGAAGAGAATACACGTACATACGAACGTTTGTTTTTCGTTTAATTTTGTTCCAAAGTTCCACGGACATAATTTTTATCAGTCGAGAGGACTATGGAACCTATATCATCGTTTTCTAAAACGTGCATGATGCACCAAGTTCATTCTTGACAATCAAGATCGCTTGTGAAATTTTCCACTGACCCGGTGGATTCATCATTGTTCATACGTATTGGTAGTTATTATCACATAAGTGTGAGAGCGCCGTCGCTATCAGTCGGTTCCCCGTGCTCGTCGTCTAGCCACGGTGATACCATCTTGGCGCCCTGTCATTCGAAACCGTCTCGAGTTGACGTTCGTGAAGATGTATGGCGCGTTCTCGTTCGGACACAATAGTCTCTCGAATACCTCTGGCAGTCCCCGTTCCGTTTTATTTCCAACTGGTTCGAACATGTTGTTCCACAACAAATTCGCTCCTAGCAATTAACAGAGAATCGTATTACGTTTAAAACTGTTAAAATGTTTCTGGTTTTTTAATTCGCTATGAAATCATTGAACGACTCTTTTGACATTCTTCACCTACCTAATGCGTGACCCTTCTGACTGAAGTGAAAGCAATCGTACGTGACCAAAGCAGGGTCGATCGGCGGTGCTCGCTTCGGGTCTGCATTTGGTGCATTGAATAATTTAATAAATGGCTGCAACACTACTGTAAAATCCGGGGAATCATCGTATCTGAAATAGAAACGAACCTAGAAGACTTTTCTGTAGTTCTTCTAAACTACCTTCGACCCTTAGTCAGCACTTGACAAACAACGTCTCGCGAGTCGGCCATCTATTTCGGTATTTTATAAACAACGTACTTTCAGATATTTCAGTTCGAAGAGAGAAAATCAGCCGAAATGAGGGGNAAATAATAATTCAACAAAAATTGATCAGTTTTCGATTGGCTGTACATTGCAAGAAAAAAAGTTGGAAAGAAAATTTTTTTACTATTGTTAAGGTTATCTTCATTCTCTTAAATGGAACTTCGTATTTTTGACTTAACAGTATTATAGCCCGTATCAATGTAATTCAATGACCTAGATACCATGACCTTCGGATGACACTGAAGGCAAAGAAATTCAGTTAGTAAGTGAATGTAATTACGAGACTTAAAAATAAATACAGCGGCGGATTAAGACCAGTGGGGACCCTAAGGGGTAAAGATTTCGGCCTACTCCCCAAAAAAAATTTGGAGGAAGCTCTCATTATGTTACAAATATAAAAAAGAAAACTTTCTTTCCAACTTTTTTTATTGCAATGTATAGCCAATCGAAAACTGATCAACTTTTGTTGAAAATATTTTTTTATCAGATTATAGCAAGCATTTGAATAATCATGAAGAGTGTTACGTGGGACACCCTGTATATGCAAAGTAAATTGTGAAAAGTCTATATTACCTATGACTGGCACGAGATTGACTAATGTACGAGGTAGAGTAATTTTTAAAAAGTCCAACGTCCTCCGTAAGTGGAGAGCATAACGAAGGGGCGAGAACTGTGCGGGATTGTAACATTGCGCGGAACAAATATCGTTCGCCCCAAAAAAAATGGTAACGAGCTGCAGCAGATAAAAATATTTGACTCGTACGAGATCTCCTCCTATGTAAATACGTGTGCGTGTCTGTCTGCTGTATACATCTGTACCTTCCACTGGTTCTTCACGTTCATTTTTGGATCGCTCTTGATCCGCTGGACTAGAATCCGTGCTTGCTGCAGCGCGTCTTCCGTGGCCGCGACCGGGAAGGCCACGTTCAGTTTCGCTCTCGCCGAGATAAATTCGCCTGTGCCCGTCGAGTAGCCCATCAAATTCGGGTTGAACACCTAACGTAATTATTGTACACGTATACTCGTGTTCCCGAGAGTCTAGGACCGTTTCGCGCAGCTTGGAAGGTGGTGGGGATCGCAGCGAACTCTCTCCACATGGTTCAATATACACGGTAAAGCATTTAGATGCGCAGAACGATAAAAAACTGAACTGTGCCCGATCCTAGACTCTCGAGAACACGAGTATAGAATATAGGACGTGATCGACGCTGAGTCAGGATGAATTGTATGTTTCCTACATGTATACGTTCGAATTCTAAGAATGAAAGAAATAAAAAAATAGAAGGAATGTAAACAGCACTGTACAATCTTCCATTATTGTCAAATGTTGACCGTTCTTACTAGACACACAGAGAAAGGTGAAGGCGAGCGCGCCAATATAATAGATTTATAATAGTACATATGTACGC